ATTGTTTAGGCTTGTGAAAAAACACCCAGCGATTCCGGCGTATCCAAAACGGGTTGCATGTACTTGAAGGTCCAGTGAGATCCTTCATCGAAAGTAAGCATTTCCCTCGTACTGTGGTGTCAGGCTTTTCGAGAAAGGAGGCGATAGCGTCCCCAACTGTCAATATTGGGGTATAAATTGTAACAGCAACGTAGCATATAGTAATCACTTTCACGAGGATAAACACCATGACAACAACCGTCAACGGTAAGCTGTACTGAAGCTTGCAGTGAGGCTGTGCAACCTCCACGAGACAGTATTTTATCGGTTGAGCCAGTACTTCCCAGTTACCAGCTACTACTTCAGGTTTGGTACTGAGTAGTTTAGATTGGCATTTGATAGCCTCCTCATAATCATTCGGACATATCCACGTGAACGGTGATCCAGTAACAGGTTTATATACTTCTTGATAGCCAACATATCTGTATTCACTTTTATTATGCGGCGTATCCGTCACCAACAAGACATTGACGTAGGAATTCTGGTACGTTTTCGTGTACGCATCTATACAAGCAGCATTGTCCAGTTTTTCTAGAGCTCCATTTTGCGACATATTGTAAAGCCGTGTAAACGTTGCAACGATAGACTTCTTCCGGAGCTCATAGTAATCCAGAGGGTGAAGTTGGGGATCCGATGGAACCAAACTGAGATCCTCAAATGCTGTTTGTCCGAAAGATCCGTCTCCGAGGAATGCATAATAGGAATTTGACGATGTAGTAGCAAAAATAGTGGAATTATACCTATAAAGCCGACGATGTTAGTGCCTGTTAGGAAAACATTGAAAGTATCGTATAAAATTCCTTACATTAGATGTAGGGGAAGTGAGGATAGCACTAGAATTACCCACAAGGCAGACCTAGGTCGGGAAATCTGACGAAAATTTCTGACACTTAGTATTCCTATATCGAGCCAGCATCGTTCCTTATGGGCATTGTCAAGATCGGCTCTTGTTGGCGCACTTAAGCATTGCTGCCAAGTCATTAGCACATATAACAGAATAAAAAAATATTTACAGTTAGAATTCAAACTATAGTGTAGTTGCTGGCGCTCAATAAGAGGGTGCTGAAAACGTTTATAACCAAGTGAAGCCCAATGCTCAAGTCGTGCACTTTATCGCAGTTGCCGTCATAAAGAGTTCCACGTTCATTACTAAAACTATGCCGGGGCAATACCCAAAGCAGAAACCCAAGGTTAAAAAAGAGAACAAGTAATCCAGTGGCTGAAGCCGAATATAAGGTGAATCTCCAGCTTTTTCGCCATCTTTTAGGCCAATCTCTATCACCATCCGTCATATCAAGTCTGGGAATTAATGTGCTTTGCCTGGCACATTTTTGCCGGGAATTGGAAGGTATCATGTCTCAAGATGACTATGTTTCCCAAGAGGAAAGCATCTTCTTGATGGTATCCATGGGCGGATACTCCCCTTATAAGTGTGAAATCCCAGTATAGTCAGGTTCCGATGATTCGGGACAGCTGCAAGGCTAGGGATCTGCATGCATTGAAGAGTGAGAGGCCTCTTGAATGCAGATATGAGACACAGCTCGTCACCTTAAATAACTCTCCTCAGATTATTAAGTAGTATATGAGCTTTTCTCGCTCCATAAGCCGCTCTTGTAAATGCAGCCCTGTGTACTGTGTGTTGCGCAAGGCTGAGTCCCGCATATCAATTTTACGACATACACTTGCGTGGTATCAACGTTGAATGTTTAACTCAAGTTTGGGAGTCATTACAGGTATATGGCTGGATATAATCATATAAAACACATTCGTTATTCGAGCAAGCACTGCATATTAAAAAGAGCGATCTAAAAATGGCCGGCCACTGACTGGGATGCGTTTTGTCGAAGGTTGACGTGAATTTAAAGTGTTTTTTTGCCAAGACCGCCTTGGACACGGCACGCAAGCTGGTACCTGCGCAGATGGCCGCGAATATTTCTTCATTATCCTCATCAAAATCTGTTACGCTTCGACTACGATATTCAATGATTGTTTCATTTAACTTATGGTAGTAATGCCTTCATAAAGCACTATAACTGTGGCAGCCCTATACATTGTGAGGTAGTTAAAAAGTAACTAGTTACCATAACTACAGCCAGCCCTTCTGTCTTTCAGTGGTTACTTTCACTTCTCTCAACAGATAGTTACCACCCCGTTCAAATGGCTGACTGTATAGAGTGGTTTTAACCAGCATACTTCATTATCATAACCCATTTTCCCCCTTTTGAGGGTAGAGAAACAGGTATGTAAGGGCCGTAAATAACTCCGTTGAAGATGTCGGAGTTAAGGTAGCATAGGAAGCACTCAAGGTAGCTTTGTCGGAAACTAACATCCCCATCGCCCGGAGGGGTCGCAAGTTGTGTGTTTAGAAGGGCAGACGTGTAGGCTCCAGCCGAAGCTTAGCTAAGAAGCTTTCATTAGGTTAGCCCGCTTTCGCAAAGGCGTTCTTGCTTCCCCGCTTATTGATCATCTATCAGATACCTGCTTCCGAGTATATTATCCAACTTTAACAGAACGTTTTCTCTTTAGCTACGTGTTTGAGCTAGATATACCTACAAACATGGCCTCGGAGCCTAGTACCATTAGAATTGGCTATGTCCCAGGTATCATATTTTCACCGCGTCAAATCAGCACTGAAGGAATCTTATTTACTAACAGACATCAATTTGCAACTAGAGCATTACCTAGCCCCTCTACACCTCGCTGCCCGCAGCTCAGAGGCTTCTTCTCTTCCATTCAAAATCTCCTTGATTCCCTTCCCGTCCGGAACGGGGCATATGATAACGTCCCTGAGGCAGAATGAGATTGACGTTGCGATTGGTTTGACTGAAGGTTGGGTTGCAGGTCTAGTCGGCAAACCACAGCTAGAAAAGGGAGAGAGGGATGGTGGTTACAAACTTGTTGGCCAATGGGTTGAAACCCCATTGAGATGGGCCATTGTTACAGGTCATGACAGGAAGGAGATTCAGAGTGTTAGCGACCTCAAAGGAGGACGAGTGGGGGTGTCTCGTTTGGGCAGGTTAGTTCCATGGGACAAATCCTGAAGAGCATACATGTTTTACGGTGTTTACAGTGGCTCCCACATTATGGCCTTCGTCCTGGCCCAACAGCAAAGCTGGCCATCCTCGTCACCCCTTATCCCGACTATCCTAGGACCGTTCCCTTCCCTGCGAGACGGAGTAACTGGCCATAACCCTGAGCAGCCGGATGCACAACCAGCTCCTACAGCGGATTTCTTCATGTGGGAACAGTTTACTACGAAACCATACTTTGAGCCCACTACAGCCTTTCCGAAGCCACCATTGAAAAAGATTGGGGAGATCTATACTCCCTGGCCATCCTGGCAGATTGCAGCCTCAACTCGTACATTCCCATCTCCAGAGTCGGACAGCCGGCTCACGCAGCTGTTCAGCCTGCTAGACTCTGGCATTTCCACTTTCCTGGCCGATTCAGAAAAGGTGATTCAGCAACTTGGAACTGGTGAATTCGGCTGTACATACTCCGAGTCAGACGCTAGGGAATGGCTTAAGGATGTACGATTTGTCAAAGGTAGTACCAGGGGTGCTGAGAAACATATGATCGAAGGTGTCATCAACGTACTGAAGACTGCTGGAGTGATCCCCGAAGATATCAGCAATGATGAAGCAGTCAATAGGGTAATTGGTATCCAAGCTAGTCAGTAGGGGTGGTAAACTGCTGTCCATTGCTGCATACGTCTTGCTACGTCCTTATGTCATGATTATACGTTAAACTTTTTCTACAGCTTTTTCAATAGATGCCTATATTAGATCAGATGGATTGAACCAGGCGTCAAAGAAATTAGTTGCAGAGTGACAGTGTTTTATGCCGTGCTAGGTCTAATTGAGATTATGCATTGTAGGAGCAGCTTTACCCTGCTTCTTCATGCACTTTTCCAAGTATGTTTCCAGACGTGGAGTATCATCCAATCTAGAAATGACTCCGACACAGCCATCTGGCCGGATAACTGCGAGGACCCCATCATCTGGATCAACTCCATATACTTTATAGGCGTCCTCAACTTCAAATCCACTGTAAAATCTCATTTCGGCCATTTGCTTGAGCTCCTTAGGAAGACAATTCCAGTCAAGCTCACGTGGAAGACGAGGGTATATCACCACAACTTCAATAAGTGAAGGAGGGAAGAGTGAAAGAAGATTTGAAATTGAGAGTATAACTTGTGCAGAAGTCCCCTTAGGATCTAATAGATCTGTCGAAGTCATGCAGAGAATGCGGAAGCGTCCATTAGAAACCATATCTGTTCAATATATTAACTTAGATCAAATTTAATCCTAGAATTAGTCCTCAACGTACCATCATGTATGTCTCTGTGGAACCCATCAGCAAATCTCCTGATAGTGATATTCAGCAGCCTCCTTCCTGGTCTTAGAATTCCATGGAAATAATCAGTTCCGCAGATGGGGTTTTGATATCCATCCGGGAATGATCTATCAATTAGATAGGTCTCTGGGTATTCAATTCCACAGCCACTGGCAAAAGAAATTGACTGTTCGTAGACTTCTTGGTTCTGTTTTAAGGAGGCCTGAACCTCATTTTCCTCTCCGGTAGTTCTTTTGGAGAATCCTGTTGAATACTTCTTATCGAAATCGATCAATTGCTGGGCAACACTGTACCGTTCCACTTCGTATGACTTGAGGAGGGCTCCAGGATCGTCAACATCAGGATGAAGCCCATTGATAGTGTATGCAAGTTTCCATGACAAGTTATGAGCATCCATCATTGAAATGTTCATTCCTTGTCCTGCCTATAGATTGTCTAATTAGTAACGTTGAGCCTAATTATGCTTGACTAACTAGCTAACTAGTTAACTAGTTAGTTAGTTCGTTAGCTTATTATGTTGGGTGGAACCAACCTTTGGGCTGTGAGTATGACAAGCTACCAAATCTCAAAGTTAGCAATCTCTAAGTTAACGTACCATAGCATCTTTAAACTGAATGAAATAAAGACAACATACAATCTCCGGCGAGAATAACTCTACCCAAACCTTTGGAATCCTTCATGGCAAACCTTTCAGCTATTCGCTGGCCAATTTGATATACAGTCCACCAGTTGATATCCACACCTGCCTTGGGTCGGATATAGTATGGCTCAAATATCTCAGAGACCTTCTGGAAGATCTTTTCCAGTGTAATTTGGCTCTTACGAGACCTCCTCGGCTCTGTGCCATTGCCTTCGGTGCGAGGGTTTTCATCTTCCGACTCCTCCTGCTGTGGCATTTGAACGTATAGGCGTGTCAAATAATCTCCATCCACGGTTTGTTCCCTAGGAATAACCATGATGGTGCCTTTTCGTGAATGGACTCGACCAAACCTCCGAATATCCGGGAAATCAGTATCAGCAACGAAATCTATCACTCCCCAGAAGTCATCAATAGACTCTCCGTTGAGTTGAATTCCAGCGCATTTCCGAACAGTCGAATGTGCACCATCGGTTCCAACAAGGAATTTGGTTCGTACTGTTTGTGGCACCCCGTCTGTCTCGATAGTTGCAATGACTGGGAAGTCCGGATCACTGTCTTCGTCAAGAGATACACTAACCAATCTGCTATTACGTCGAACTCCTCGTTGAGAGTGATGAGCCAAATCGTCATCAAACACTTGCTCAATAATTCCTTGGCTGATAGTAATGGCCCGCTGGTATCTTGCAGGACCAACTTTGTTATCAATGACGGAGAACCTCTCGATAGTCCCGTCCTTGGATGGCTTCCGGACCATCATTTCCCACAAGTAACATCCATCCTGCAGTATTGGATCAGCCAATCCCATGGTCTTGAGGACCTCGAGCGTTCGTGGCTGCAGCCCGTCTGCCTGGCCACACATCACTCTGGTTGGCTTCAAGTCGATGCATAATAAAGATTGATCCGTCAAGCCATGGCGAGCGAGCAGGATGTTGAGGATATACCCAGCTGGCCCTGCCTATTTGTCACATTGAACATCAAAATACGAACATAGAGCTGGTTGGTAGCAAGAGGGATAACCTTACACCCACGATTACCACTTCATACTTTTCATCTCCCTCACTGCCACCATATTGCTGGCTAATACGGGGCAACGGGGCGGCATACGGCAGCGCTACACGCGAACCCCGGGCGGCTGGGTTACCATCAACCATTGGGACAGGCTATCAATTCAGGCGATGATTGATGTCAAGGTCAGCTCGATGGAAGTTCGTGAAACGTTGCTCGGTGAGATCGAACAGCATTCATGGTTATGTCATGATATTTATATATTTTTACGGAGTACGGAGTACGGAGTATCGATTTAATAATAAGAGACACCCCTGCTGCATACATGGAATAGTTAGTTACAGAGATCCGGACGAAATCGGCCGCCACAGATCGTCTTACACCTCGTGGCTCTGACTAGTGATTTCGATGGCGCATAGTTCGTGTGATCTATCAAGCATCTTGTCGTCGTAACGAGACAGATGGCGAGGATTGTGGGAACTATGATTTCCGCTCTAACTTAGGGATAAAAGCAGTGCATAAAATACATCCATTGACTCATGTCAACGATGGCTGGCTTCTCGATCAACTGGAACTCTACCAAGCCATTGATTGCCCAATAAAGATGACCATTTTCGGGACATGTATTGTTACATCCAGCTCTCTATACCCCATAATGGAGATTGAATTGAGGTGAAAGCGAAGTATACTATTTGCTGTCCAGAGGTGTGGACGAGTCAAGCGGGTATGTCTCACCTACCCCAAATCAGCCAAATATTTACTCAACACCACATGTTATCCATAGCCATAATACCTAGGTTGAATGAGAAACATGTGTTCCTCATTAATCTGATTGGCAGCAACCCCATACAACCTCCCACTCCTAAGGAGAGACTGTTAAAAAACAGCACCTGGTAAAGACCATATTCCCTACTGTTCAGCTAACTAAAGCTCGAAGAACCCAGCGGGTACCTCCAATTGGATGAGGCAAGCTCGAGGATATTCTCCCCTAATTTTGTAACTTTAGGTGTCAGGAGAGGTATGTGTAGGTATAGCAGCGGAGCTGTAGCTGCTCAGGGAAAGCAACCCATTAAAATGTTTGTATTCAATTCAAAATCAAGATGTATAGTTACTTGATGCATAGGTTTAGAGATTGGCCAGCTCGCTGATCATTTGTTCACGGAAACGGTCATTCAAAGGCATATATTAAAATTATATTAATCTCCCTTAAATTATAAATGAATGTTATATGGTGAGCCAGCGGCGGACAGCAGTACTCTTATCAGCGTAGCAAGTGCCGGCGATGATGCGTTCGCCTATGCTGCCATTGGCTATGAAGTTTTTGGCCTAATTGTGCTTCCGTTGGCTTCTGATAGACATTCAGATATTTGATAGCCCAGTACGCTTCCTTGAATGCATGCGGGTAATTCTCAACAAATGTCTTGCACTCCGAAGTGACGGCAGAGCAAGGGGTGTCCTCCCAGATTTTTGGACTTCCAGCCCAGTCACCACAAAAGGTAATGTCAAATATTATTTGCATATCTCTGAAGCTTTCCGTAAAGCTACAGTTTCCGGTAAAAAGCGCGGCTGGTGTTCCCCAGTTTGAAGGGTCTGGATTGCCATTCCTGATATCGCTTGGGATGCCGGCTATTCTGGGGAAAAACCATATCTTAAGGTCTTCAGTAGTCCATTCAGTCGCATATACGCCTCCTCCAGCAATGTTCAAACCGCTGCTGTAACTTGTTGGATCGTCGGCCTTGATTGTGCAGCCATTGCCACCTAACGGTGGTGGAGCGTTCTGGTCACAGTAGGGTGTCGTCAACCTGCCTGTGAATTGGACATCCTTTGATATAGTGCAATTGCGACCAGTATGGAGGGTCATAGTGTTGGAGAGGTCAAGATTGATACCCTCATAAATGTCAACTTCTCCGTTCGTTGGCCAGTTGGGTCCCAGGAGCCAGTAAGCTGGCCATATTCCACATGCAGTCCCAGGGACATGCTCGAAATCGATGATCCAGAGCCCCTGGTTATAACTCTTCTTGCTTGATATCCTCACGCTTGGTCGGCCGTCTGGGGTAATATTCGTGTGGTCGGCACCCATCCGGACCACCGTGCTACCGTCATATCGAGACTCGAAATCGATTAAACCTGCAGACCGAGCTTCCTTCTCCCCTACATACTTGACAAAGCCATGAGTTGGGTCTTCTCCAGTGAAGAAGTCAAAGTTTGAGAAAAATGTTGATCCTTCGAAGTTATCGACCAGCGAATATGAAGCCAGTGACCCCCCAACAAGGGAACAAGCCAGGAGAATCTGAGCAATCGCGCCCATGTCCACACGGTTATGAAGATGTACGCGCCAAAATGTCCTTCGTTCCTGTCATGATTTTGGGAGGTAAATCGGTAAATCATAAGTGGAAACAACCCCTTGGAGAAAGCCATCGATTATATACCCCTAGTTACCGTACGGCTATTTCATTCCTCAGCCCCAATAATCGAGCCCGAGTTAAATACTCGAAAGGGGTAAAATTGAGTCTCAACCCTGTACCTTGCAGCAAAATAATGGGAGCGAATATTACTGGCTGGGGTTGCAGATCAATCTCTCAGCCAAGCTGCTCAACCTTTATTTTATGCTTTCTTTTTCTTTCCATCGCTATTTTGAGAGCAAGCTTGGGGATCGACGATCATAATCTGAACACGAAGGCAGTTTGGGAAGGCCATGGCGCGCTCTGCTAGACCTCCAGACTACTACTTCATAGTCCCATAGCCAGTGAGGAAGTTTGATGAATATCACATATATTTACCCCAGATAAGGGCATGAGTTGGTGAAACACACAAGTTCATGAAGATGAAAACTAGCTAAATCAGCCCTGCAGCACCCTAGCGCGTGATGCAAATTGAGCAGATTCCCGGCATTTTGCCCTCATGAAGTGAATGGTTTATGAGAAAATGCATGTCCATTATATACCACTCGGCACAGTGGTTACCCGGTTCTCTGCACGCCTCTCATTAAAGTGAATGTAAATCCAAGTCGGGCATCGCAGCAAGCAACGCTTCTGAGCAGTTAGGTAGGTGGAAGTTCCCTATGGCATACAATGCTGTGCCTCAAGATGCGAGCGCACGGAGTACCACGTATGGAGTTATCATATCTGATGCATAGCTCCATTGCAATAGGGATGAGTATGTACCCAAGCAGTTCATGCTTACTGTAACACTCCTCGGGTGGACATTCACTGTTTTCTGGGGTATCCTATCGATAGAATTCCTTTTGCCCTGCTGCAGGGAGTATCTGCTGTCGAATTCTCTTTCCCCGCAAGCGACTTTTTCAGCACCGGCATTGATAGCTGGTTTGCTAGGCCCATAGATAAAGAGGATTCGTCAGGTCCAGCTCACTTGGCCGTTACTAGATAACTATGGTCAGTATCAGTGCCAGCCTATAGATTGACAGGAGGGTCTGAAGGCAGTGTTAAAGACATTTCGCTTCGATAAGAGTGTAGCCACCAGATTCATTGGTTATCACTTCGTATTGTTGTTTATGGCTTCTTCTTCGTCGTCGTTGGGAATGCGTAAGGGTTTAGGCCTTCCTGATTACATGATCAACGTATCGAACTTAGTTTTAGTGGAGAGCCGTTGCTTATATAATCAGATACGGAGTTTAATTTATCCGCGAAGAAATTCATCCATGCCCAGAGGTCGGCCTCTGGTGCAGGTCGAATCAGATGGTGAGCGCAGCTTCGAATTTGACGCTTGATCGAGGAGGTTGAGATCAATTCAAGAGCTGCGATGGCTGCAACCCCGAGATACTTGGCTCCCCTGTCGAGGGGAGTACTGTCTTTCTCCCTACGACCCCAGGTCATAGCTCCATCCTTTATATGCCCTCTCCAACAACAGCAACGATATGCCTCAAAGTCGTCCAAGTCGAAAGACTCCAAGCCCAAGAAGAAGAAGCCAATGTATACCCAATATGACATCCGAGATGCAATCCAATTTTCACTATGCGATGCCATGAGGTGTGTATACTGTCCTGTTGCGTCAATTGTCCATTTTTGCGGACAAGCTGCTTCTCCCTCTCAAGTGTAGAATTCATACTTACCTTAAAACTTTTTTTCTACGACAAGATATCTTCGCGCATTCGAAGCAGGCCGGAATACTTCCTCCGTCAAGTATGAAGTCCATGTCAAATTACGCACAAAACGAGACGGCCCCGTGATTCGAAATCAGATACGTCTTCCGCATGCAGTTCGGTCCGATCTGCGAGTCTGCGTTATATGTCCACCAGGATCTCGTGCCGCAAAGGAAGCCAAAGCTGCTGGTGCCGACATCGTTGGTGAAGAGGAAGTTTTCAACTCTATCAAGGCAGGAAATATTGACTTTGATGTCTGTATCTGTCACACCAACAGTTTGCCTAGTCTGAATAAGGCCGGTTTGGGCCGAGTACTGGGTCCCAAGGGCTTGATGCCTAGCGCGAAGCTGGGCACCGTTGTCGACAATGTTGCTACCACTGTAAGAAATATGCGTGGAGGCAGTATTTACAGAGAAAGATCTGGTGTCGTCAAGTTGGCAATTGGTCAATTGGGCTTCTCTCCTGAAGAACTCAAGAACAACCTGGGTGCTTTTATTGCTGCAATCAAGAAAGATGCGGCTGGAATGTCAGACCAAATATCCAAGGATATTGCCGAAGTTGTAGGTTTTCTCATTCTTCCCTTCTTTCCCCTTGCTCGAGTTACTGCTTGACTGACAATCACCGAAGGTACTGAGCACCACCAATGGTCCAGGCTTCAGCCTGAACGGCGAATACAAGAGCGAAAATTCTCCTCCTCTGCACATGTTGACCGGATGTTAAGAGTTAGCGGAATGAAGACATGTAAATTATTCTGTATATCTATATTTTGGCGTCGTTTGATAGAAATATTATTCCATTGAGAAGAGTTAACCGCCCAAACTCCAAAGCAAGTTTTTTTCTCTAAACATGCATAAAGCAGTCTTCAATTATTCAGTTATTGTTCCCAGCCTTTTCAAACATTGCTGTCCTTCGTCATGGTGTCCCAGCGAGTCATATAACCGTAGTATTGTAGAAATTTTTTCGTCTCGCTTTGATCCAAGTTTACTTGTTTCCTTTAGCGCGGTGCTCAGGTCAAGCAGTAGAGCCGACTTGATGGCATCAATCCTACCGGCATGGCTGGAGATGAAAGGGTGTTTCTCTCCAATCCGATCCGCCATTACCTTCACACTCAGATATTGTTGTATATGGGCCTCCAACCTGCGAAGAGATATTCTCGCCTTGTTTCCGCCCTCGTTCTCACTTTCTTCTCCATCTTCGTCGCTATCGTCTGCTTCGCTTCCTAGTATGACATCCGACAGGCCATCACTTTCATCATCACCTTCCGCTTGAGCTCCATTCTCCTTTGCCGTTGCATCCTTTCCAGGCCGGATCATGAGATTCGTCTCCAACAATTCGATCCTTTCTGCAACATCTAGTAGTTCGTACCCAACCGAAATCTTTGACCGTAGCCGTTTCTTTTCATCGAGACATTCCCGTATCTCTTTTTTCTTTGCCTCGAACTGATCTTTTATCCCTTGCACGTTTCTCTGGAACCCAAGCAAGCCAGCTCTAATCTCCTCGACCTTGTCCTGGCCACCCTTCAGAGCAGCTCCAAGGGACAAAAACTCTTGGTAATTCTCATTCACAAGGTCAAGAAGCTCCTTGTTCAGTGCCTCATTCAGCTCTCGAAGCTCGGTCTGTAGATCAGCCAACGACTGGTGGCGGTTTGATAGCGAGGCCAGGAAAGTTGTGGCATCGAAATCCGGCGTTAGAAAAGAAGCTCTCGATATCGGCTTCGGGAACGGAAGATTATCATCGTTCAAGTCGTTGTCTGACCCGTCCGAATCTCCGAACTATGCGTAGATATATCCATGTCAGCACAGCACTACATGCATCTACTAGCAAGAAGTCGATGGGAGAGAAACAAACATAGAACCTGCTCATGGTTGAGGCAATGATCCCCCCGTCAGCTTCGATGCAATGGGCCCCTCAAGGCTCCTGCATGTCTTTCCCTTGCTATGTCTACCCGTCGACCGGCCTCTGACCGAACTGTTCATCCTCGTCCCACGGAGTGTATCCTCCCATCCGCGCCTCCACCTCAGCACTAGACGGGACCTGGGGCCGCCGAGCAGCCCTCAAATGCGGAACATCGATCTTCCGCCAGGTGTAGCTAAACACGGGACTCCGGGAGGTCCCCCGCAACCCTAGCCAGCCGCCAGCATGATATAACAAGCGACGGATAACGGTGCCAACACATCTTCTGCAGGCCGCCCGCGTCATGGAGGGCCTGTCACCGAATAAAGCCTGAGACATCCCTCCTCAACGGTTTCCGGGGGACACTGAAGGCCGGGGAAAGTGTGGCATCTCCAGCTTCATCCCGACCTTGCTTGCACTCCCGCTGACCATCCAATCCCTGGCGGACATGCGTATATGCAGCCCAGTCGCATAGTCAAGGCCGTCTCGTCATACATATCCTGACACGCATCATCGATTTACTTATGCCAGTACAGTCGTGGGGAGACCAGCCTGACCATATCCCAGCTTGATGAGCCAAGAGGGACTCCTGTTGCTGCAGACAGATCTACTCCACGTATGCCCTGCGCCTGACACATACTCACACACTCGGGATGGATTCCAGCTCTGATCGGCCGTCATCCCTAGCCAGTATAGAGCATCTCTCCTCGTCTCTTCCTACACCTCAGCCATGGGCAAACCAGTCTCTCTCTACATTGGGGACTCGCGGCCGGCTATTCAATCCCGCCCTGGACGATCCTACGCTTGCTCGACGGACCACTGCTTTGCGGCAACTTCATGGGATTACTAGGCCTCCTCAGCGGAAACATCGTCAGTCTGCCTCTATTGCCAGCCGGGCCTCCCTGTCTTCTCAACCGGTTATTGTTCGGACCTATTCTGGAGGACCGGAGAGGGAATCTACAATGTCAAGGAGGCGGAGCTCAGACAGAGAACAACAGACGACTAACGCTCCTCCAGCACGTCTTCCGTCAGTTGATGAGTTCGGTATAGAAGGCATACTACAGTCTATCGAGCCCAATATACAGGTGACTTTGGATGCTATAGCCGAGATATGCGGCCGAAGCAAGCTAAGTCTTGCAAATGAATACGGGAGCCATAGACCGCCTCTGGGTGAAATCAGAGCACCTGCACGAACGAGTGATCATGGCCTTTTAACAGTGGAAGAGGCAAGCTCTAGCACGGAGAGGCTGGCAGACGACAATGTCTTGGTCGTGGGTGACGATATCAGCACTGTGGATGGTCATGGTCGGTATTCGTCCACTTACGACTACCTCAATCCAATACCCCGGCCAACGGGTCTCTTTGATTTCCGCAATTCACTTCCTCAGGCATGGGCTGAGACAAACACGACACAGCAGCAGGCTGAATCTCACAGGCACACCGTAAGAAGAGAACTGGTCCCTGCTCATGAAGAGACCATTCCCCCAACCCGCAACCATCATCCGGTAGACAAAGGGAGGCTGCCGTATCTGCCCTGGGCTCTTGACACTCGTCTTGAAAGCGGCGATTACAATGCTACTGGACAGTCAATGATGACACGTCCTGTTATATCTGCTGTCCATCTAGATGCCCAGGCCGATAGATCTTATCACTTGACTGAGCCAGACAGGCCATGGCCTTCGACTGACGCGATAGTGGACATTCCAGACTACGATGAACTTCCACATATCAATGGACACAAGCAAAAATCCCACTCTAGGAAATCCTCCGTTCTGGATGAATTGCAAGGGTTCCTCAGCTGGGTTGGGAAAATGAGTCGCGCTCATGGTAAATCCAGCCAAGAGGTCACATCGCTTGTATCTGCACAGGAAAAGCTACGAGATGTTTTAGAGAAACAAAATGCTCGGCTTAGCCACCTCCCTGACGATTGAAGTCATGCCATACAAGCTTGCTTTTCCTTATGGTCGTCCTTATGGTCTACATGTCACGATTCACGAAGCGGAATAATGAACATTTCACGATTATCATGACTCTATTTACCTATCTATACTCTGTACTCTGGCATATGTGGTATACAAACCGACTTCTGTATGTCAGAATGTGTATCTAAACCAATGGAATTAGTTCTTCTTTTTGTTTAGCGTGTCACAAGTGGCATGTAGTTGTAGTTTAATAGCAGGGCCGTCACAGCCGGTAACTGCTGGCAACTAACTGGTCGAGATCGGCCTCACAGCCCAAGCAAGATCCTGTGTCTATTGTAGTAAATATAAGGAGGTCCTTCGGCATCCTCCAACAAAATATAGAGACAGCCCTTCGAAGCTGGGCTCTACTAACCATTTAGAATAGTTAGACTGCCATTACATTACGACAATCCCTATGAGTGTGGCGATAGTAACAGCTAACCAGCCTCCCCTTAGGGCAGCCGCGGAATTCTCACTGTACGGGTAGTGTCTGTGGCTAACCATCTTCAGACACGTCATTTGGGATGTAGTATTGTGGGCAAGCCTATGATTGTTTCCACCAAGGAACACAGTCACGACCGGAGTGATCTTGTAGGCCTCACTGAAGAAATCCTCGGCTCTTGAGGAGGTCCCCTGCGGTTAATAAAGTTTTAATTAGCGCCATGCAGCTTATTTTTATGAAACCGATCTCATCATCTCAGCTTACATTTGAAATCACCTCGGCGATCTGCATTAGCCCATCCGACTTCCGCTGCACTGGCCAGCAGTCCGAAGAGTTTCTGGCAGCATGGAGGTTCCCAATTGACTTGATAGTGAAGTTTCCGAGGGAGGTACCGTGGCCCCCGAATAAGGAGCATCCGCTAAAATCATCCTTCTTCAATTCTCGGTCGAGCGCGTTACAGGCATTGGCATTACCCCCGGCCCGGTTGGCTGCATCCCTAGCTCGCTGCGTGATTGTATCAATGCACTTTTGCTGAATAACATCAGCGCAGGTCCCAGTGGCAGCAAAAGTATCGGCCCCACTAGGGGGCGTGAACTTGTTGGCCGGTGGATCGTTGAAGATAACTGCACAGCCGGAGAGGCTGTTCGTCTCTGTATGCTCCGGGGTGCCTAGGTAGTAAAACGACCTGATAGGACGTACTCGCGAGCCGTTAAACTGGACCGGTGTGGCCGAGACGTTGACAGCCTTGACAAGGGAGAAGCCTTTTAGTTCTGAGGGAACATCCGGAATAGGGGACACCCCGACTCCTATAAAGGTGGTATTTTCAACGGTGCAGCGATCGCTATCATAGTGCGGGGGGCACCCGACAGCATCACAGCCCACTAGCTTAACATCTTCTGCGTTAACGGGAGAGAAAAGCAGGGGTAGGAGAAGGGCGATGGTTGATGTTTTGAGATGAGGCATCATTGCCTTTAGGAGGGAATGCCCTGAATCTAAAGTAAAAGCGATAGTTTAGAGGGGAACTCTGGACAGTAGAAACTGCAGGCTTGTTCGTAATTGAATACAAAAATGCCTGTCTCCAATAGTGCGAGGCGGGAGTTATTTATCACTTGAGGCATATCTAATTACCTACCTACCCAGAACGTGAGAGGGCATCATTGTACCCTCTGCTAAGTACACTATTTTTATTGCATCATATTCATACCCGCAACACATTATAACTGGTACTAAAATGGCTCACAGCCTTGGGTATAGGGGGCAGCGGAGCTTTTTGCCCTGACCTCACATTAGGGTATGTGAACCATAGCCCAATCATGACACTTTCCTGACTGTTGGTTTTGTTTTGTTATCCCTTCCAAGGACTGTGCCTTGCTCAAGCATCCATATGCCTTTGTTACGGCGTTTGTCAGATTCAACTCGGACTGGTTCGTATCCATAGCGCAAACAAAGCGTTTGGCCGTGTTCCAGGTAACTGCTAGGTAGGTGATGAGCCAACTTCAGGGCTTTCACTTGATTAGGTAGTTAACTGGTCAGATATGTATCAAGCCGTTCTGTTCTTTTATTTAAGTATGGACATCCTGAAGTTAGTTTGATGTCGAACACGGAGGAACAGTGAAGGTCGATAAAACAACGCATTCAGGTTTCAGTGCATGGTGATTCGCGGGCCCGGATAATGTAACTTTTAGACAGTCGATATCCTGAATCATTATATTAGGGTGCTTTCATAACTCTCTTTCACTCGATATCCAGGCTCAGGCACCAGGACATCTCAGTTTCATACCTATATCTCTCTCACACAATCGGATACTCTCTTTCAATATCCTTAAGACAGCTGTCAATACTATCGGTGACATCTCTAGACTCTTAACTATTTTCTCATTCAGAGGGGATAAACTGTTGCAAAGAAGTACACTTCGGCCTTCGCCCTCCTCGACTGTGGAACCATTTAACTTCCGACAGTCTAGATTAGTCATTAATATAAAGAATTCTTATTGGTTGTTGTTGGCGCGGCCCCATTGGATTGCTGAGTCAGCTGTCACTTCCCTGACTAAACTACTTTCGGCACATCAGCCAGAGCTTTTGCCGCGTGCCGCGAAAGGCATGAAAGACACTTCCTGACTCCCTTATACTAAGTAACTTGCTTCACTATACATAGGTAACTAGGACGTTATCCAGTTGGACATTAGGCGTGGAGCTTAGTACTGGGTACTGAAGCGTCTTCCCTCAGACGATTGCCTTCGATAACGCGTCGTTGTTAGTCTTCACCTACACGCCACCTATAAGAGCTACCTTTCAACGTTCTATTCTAACGTACGCAAGAGCTTGCAGCAAGGTGATGGAAAACCTGGTACTAGTGATGCGAATACGCATACCCTGTGGATACTGGTAACTAGCCACCCGTACCTGAATTCTCGCTTTCTCGGTTCTCGATTCTCGGCTGAAGTCTACCGAGGGTACCTCAGTATATTTTAACTTGTTGAACCCAGGGGATGGTAAGGGGAGCGTGCTGCAAACTAGATGGCAAGTTGTCAACTGGCGGTGTAGCTCTCACGAATGGAGTAGCAGCACGGCTTTACATAGGTGTTCTTGCTCATAAACGACAGATACCCACCACGACTGACCCCTTGGAATCACGTTTCTCTTCTATATATCTGGAAATCGGTCCGGACGTATGATGGAAGCTAAATAGGAAAGGACCAATGTTCACTAAACCTCATCATTTTAAAAGATAAAAATGCGCTGCAGCAAAGAAGCCATATTCTCAAATTAGAGTCGGGGATGGATCCAGATATAACCTTGACTTTATGGGGCATTTTACCCCTTTATGGTTTAACAACATCATTTGTGGTTGTAATTTGGGTATTTAATAAGTCATTTTCACAGTAATTTCATGATAATTAGTCATTTCATTCCTTCTGTTGTATATAAAGCTTCGAATGACCCCAACGGAGATATAAATTGACACTTTGCCCTCATCCCAAACTCCAGCCCGCCCAAACTCCAAAGCTCTTCTATTAAACTGAAGGCCATATCATGCTGTGGATTGTTCAAGTTGTTTCCACTAGCTGAATGACCTCTTTCGCAAGGCTTTCAAAAGTCGGCTGGGACCAACATTTTTGATATCTTTCAACCAACGGGCTCTCCAGAGGCTGACTACCATTCGTCTCTAATTTCTCTGCCTTCTGCTCCTCCTTATTCTCACCTGAATCCGAACGAGGGCCCTCAACCATCTCCCCGAAACTCACATCAATCGGGACAGCTCCCAGAAAGCGTATGCCCATATCATCAGCCATCACCTTCCCTCCACCCTTGGAGAAAACATTGCTCACTTCCCCGCAACAAGGACACGTATATCCAGACATATTCTCAACCACACCAAGGACCGGAATGTTCGTCTTTGCACAAAAATTGACTCCCTTTCGCACGTCGGATATAGCTACAGCCTGAGGAGTAGTGACTAATACGGCACCAGCGAGGCGCGGCTGTGTTAATCCTGAGGTGGGGGACGTCGTAGCTTGACTTAGTAGTTGTTCGGCGATTGCGATATGTTCATCACTTGTTCCTGGAGGAGTATCTATCAGTAGATAATCCGTGTCTCCCCATATGACGTCTGATAGAAACTGGCGGATCATGGCCGTTTTTTTTGGCCCTCGCCATATCACAGCATCGCCCCTATCTCGCAGTAGAAATCCCAAGGACATACATCGTAGGGGCCCATAGGGGCGAGCTATGCTGTTGTCATTCCCTTCTGGGTTATCTGTCGAAGGTATAGGTGCAGGTGTGGTAGTGTCCGAGTCTGAAGCAGGATATACGCTCACAGGAACCCAGCCGCCGGAAGCTTGTACTATTTTTGCATTTTCCTTGCCTACCAGCCGCGGCATCGAAGGTCCTGTAAGATCAATGTCCAATATGCAAACCGACCGTCCTCGGAGTGTGAGAGAGAGCGCAAGCTGGAGTGTGACGGAGGACTTTCCCACTCCACCTTTCCCGGAGAGAACCTACAAGACGAGCCACACGTTAGCGAATATTTGGAATAGTAATATCATAGGCTCAAAGAGATTTGGCTCTCCTAAGCTTTGTTGCCGTGATCCATGACTTGAGGCGGGCTCATATTTGCTATCGATAAGCTGCAATCTCGCGGGGCAAACGTACCAGGAGTATATTTTTGACACCATCTAGCGGCATGATGAATTATCGCCTTAAGTAGACATATATCTGGAGGTAAACAGTATTTCCAGCATATAACAACATGAAGAATCTTGCAAAGATTTTGGGGTTTCTTTGAATCTTTTTGATAGAAGTTTGGCTTATCAAGCTTCCAACTAGATTATTAAGCGGGCAGGTGCTAATTTTTGTCTACTGATAAGAACATATATCCATAAATTGGTTGATGGCCATTATTTCATCCCTTCTAAGGCCAGAGAGATCTTTGGATGAAGACTATTCCTCTCTATCTAGACAGATATCAACAACGACGCTTTGCCTAATAGGTATCTTAAGTCCATTTTTGAACTACGACGCCGCCGCGCTTGTACTCCTTGAGGTCTCCGAGAATGGCAGAGCGGTCATTGAGCTCTGTACTCGGGAAAGTTGTCATGAGAACCCATTCTCGCTGTTGGCTGACCGGACTAGCTGCCGCCACGAACTGATACACGTCACCAATAGTATGCGTGGTGTTAAACCGGCTGGTTAACCGTGTGCCATCACCCAGTCTAATTTGGAGGGTGACCGTAGGTTGGGACTCATCGATCTTTGGCTGCTCAGGACCTGTACTAGCCTCAGCCGGAGCAGGCGCTGCTGGTGGTACAGCTGCTGATGCTGCAGACACCACACCGGGAGTTGGGCTACCGAGTCGTTGGCCGGATCCGGAAAAGGCCTTAAACTTCCCCTTAGGTCTCACGTAGTCTGAATCATGCTGTTTTACTTGGACATCTACATCCTGCCCAACCTGAACATTCATGATGGAGAGTGGAGCGCGTCCCTGTCGGATGCCCTCTAGTATCTGTGCATTCTTAGGATCGGAGGATCTGTATAGGTCACCATCATCAACTGAAAACCCATCATTCCAAAAGTGAAGAGTTCGATGTACGCGCTCGAGCGGCTGCGGCTGATTCGCATTGGGATCTTCAATGATCCGACTGGGAGTGTCATCTCCCCCGAGGGTGCGAGCAGTTCCGGTAAAATGCGATTTTGCAGGGGTTGGGTTACGTTCGACAGGCGGCATTGCCCTACAGCATCGTTAGCAACAATGTCAGGGCTGCTCAGAAAAAGGGAGTTCGTACTTCTTAGCCTTTTCGATAATTTTTCGCTTGATATCATCTGGATTCTGGACCGCAAGCCCGGATTTCTCACCTCCAGCAAAGAGATCTTGAGGTTCATCGTCGTCATAATCATGAGAAGGAGGGCCTCCACCGTCCCCGGAGCCAAGGTCCCCCAGCGTTGCAAATTTTTTGGCACCGGCTCTAGATTTTGATCCAGCTCCTTGTGCGTGAGAAGCTGCTACTCCCTGAGCACCCGCTGTTGCCTCAGCCTGTCGACTATCGTCCATGTCATCATAATCTGATTCTGGCCTCTCTTCTTCTGGGTAAACTTCTGCAATCGCCATATCTAGATCCCAGTTGTTGGCTACCAAGTGTTCCCTAGCCTTAGATGCATGTCAGTCTTTGGACAACCACCGAAAAAAACAGGTGCCACAGAGGTAACAGAGGCCAGAACCATACATACCACAGCTGGAGTGGCTCCTGTGATAGCACAGAAGTGCGAGATCATCTCGTCTTCGGCAGAGGCCATGGTCGGCGGCTGCGGGGCTCGCAGGAATCGGCAATACCCTAGAGTAACGGGAAAAGTTTTTGCTTCTAAGAAACAAGACGACCATAAAACACTCTGATAACAGATATTTGCTACACAAGTCAAGTGATGGGAAAGGAAGAAAAAGCTGCTGTGCTGGTCTCTGGTGTTTGTCTTTCGTCTTCTGCTTTTACGTCACTTTGGGTGCCTGGATATCAGATTAGGTAATCAGACACGGGATATCGATCTTCCCGCCCGGCCTCGCCTTGGCCCCGATTACCTAAGGCAGAGAGAACTCCACCGCCCGGAGTTCCTTCGATTGGAGACAAGAGCGAAGAAGCTGGATAGAGGGAGTATAGAAAACAAACAGGCACGGCGGCAGAGTCATCCTGTTAAGCAGAGCTGTTGTCAGAGCCGGCCTCGAGTGCACACGCTGCTTGCCTTTTCTCTTCTTTTTTTCCCCTCATATAGTATCGCTTGACGAAGTCCCCTCCCCTCGACTTTCGGTCAACCGCACCAGCTGCCTGCTTCTCACACAATACTCAACCATGGCGTCGAACGAGAGCACACCGAGGGTAGAGCTATCCGATTCAGCAGTCACTCTTCCTTCGGACTCGGAGAACTACTCAGCCACTATCGAGCTGTCTCCCCCATCCGGGCCTGCTCCCGCTGCTCCTGTGACTCTTTACACACCCCCATCTTACTGGCGGATAATACAGGGTGCCGCTATCAACCTCATCCTCCCTTTCGTCAACGGGCTTATGCTTGGATTTGGAGAGCTATTTGCACATGAGGCAGCCTTTAGACTAGGCTGGTCGAATACAAAAGTAGGCCAATAATCTAATGTTCTCGTTCCCAGTGTATCAACTAATGTTGTGATCTAGGTATTCCCTACCCATCGACGGACGCAGCAGCCCATCGGCGGCGGAATTGATCTCCGCGATATACCACAGCGCAGGCGGTAAAAGGGGCACAACTGAGCTACACAATCAAATAATGTCATGTTGTTGAAGTAATAGACCATTTCTTTTTGCGCGCTTGATTGGCTGATGGAGGTGCTACCCAGGGCAAACACCACAGCCATAGATATACCACTTTTCCCTGTGTTTAACTAGTTCTATGTACACGGTAATGATGTCCGTATTTCCATCTACCTAATGGAAGACTACCGTCGACTGAATGGCGTTAGGATAATGAACTGCTACCTTCGATATTACGTCTTCATTCCATATTTTCAGCAGGAGGGAACTGCAATTGCTATATTTATCTTTCGCATCCATATTCAACCCCATCCAGCCGTATAAACGAGTCAACAAGTAGTAGACAATGGTATTGAATTCCGCCTGCAGTAATTAGACTTTTAGCCGCAAGTTAAACGCGGCCGGCAAACCTTCCTGAAATACACGCCAAACTTTTTTCCCTTTGAACTTCAACTTGAAAAATTTACCGAATCGCAAGCATCTATCAATCAATATCACCACTGAAACTGAATTTCTCGATATCCCGCTCTCAAGATGCTCTCTAGAGCTGGAATTAGGCACTCTCGTGTAATTACACAGTCTCCAATCCTCAGATCCTCACAATCGCAACGACAGGTAAAAAAAAGCTTGGTGCAACGAAATTTTTCTTTACGCCATCTCGGAGTCCAACTGACCGTGTTCTAATAAAATAGTTTTCTTCCCTAAACCCAGCAAGGAATATCCAGATTCGATCGAGTTCACTTCGTGGAAATGGCACTGCGCTAAGTGCCCTACGACTTTCCCGGAGCTCAGGGCCGATCAAAATCTCCCCCCGATTTGCATCCACCACAGCGACATCTTCCGCTATTACTTCTACCCCAAGCGAACCGGCAACCGCACCAGTAACTGGAGGCATCACACCTGGTTCCGATGCACTTTCCGGTGGTAGCTTGGCCGATATAGATCTCTCACACATTCCAGAGAAGATTGGCTATCTTAAAGAACTTGGCTTAGACTACGGATGGGGTCCCTCCTCGATGGTCCAGTTTCTTCTAGAGACACTACATATAACAGGTGGTTTGCCATGGTGGACTGCAACTGTAGCTACAGCTGTGCTAATTCGAGTTGTACTATTCAACTCAATTGTATCCTCCGCCGAAGTTTCTACCAAACTTAAGGCTCTAAAACCGCGTACTACACCAATTCGAGAACGTGTGATGCACTGTGTACGCGAAAACGACAATGTTGGAGCACTGAAGGCGAAGAACGAGCTTGCTTTGTTGAACCAGGAACATGGAATAAAGCCCTGGAAGGCCTTTCTACCTCTTCTCCAGATACCACTTGGTTTTGGATGCTTCAGAGTTCTTCGAGGAATGTCTGCTCTCCCCGTTCCAGGATTGGATAACGAAAGCGTCCTATGGCTACAGGACGTAACTATGCCTGACCCTTACTATGCCCTTCCCTTCGCAACTGGTGCTCTGATGTTCGTAGCTCTCAGGGTAAGTGGCTTTCACCCCTTTTATCAAGCGTATAATCATGTGCTAACATTGTACTCGTTTCTAGCGTGGCGGCGATACCGGGTTGAGCAATCTAATGAACTCTACTTTAGGAAAGATTATGGTATATTCTCTTCCTATTGTTACAGCGTTGACCATGACATTCTGGCCTGGCATTCTACAACTCTACTTCCTCACGACCGGTGCCTTGTCTGTATGCCAGACCTATATAATGACCACCCCTCGGTTACGCAAATTAGTCGGCCTTGGACCTCTTCCTAAGAACCCCACCTCACAAGACTCATCCACGCCTGCTCCAAGCCGAATCCAAACCATTTCCAAACCAGTTACTTCACAGCCGACACCTGAGACACATATACCACCCCAAGATATCAGCGCCATTGACCGAGCCATGGATGGACTGAAATCTGCTTACAAAGATACTGTCAAAGATGTAAAGAATAAACTAGGCGAAATGACCGGTGAAAAGGAGGAATCTGACCCGACTGGTCGTATGCCGCGGCTTAATAAGAAGGAACTCGAAAATGCGAAGGCCTATGAAGAGCGGCGCAAGGCGGAGATCAGAGCTGAACGGGAGTTGAAGAACCAACAGCTTAGAGCCAGGCATATGCGGAAACGGGGGCAAAAGGAGTAAATTACGGGACTTCGGTACGTAGGAGAAGTGATATGGGCGGAAGTGTGATATTTGATCCCCTTCTCCACCAATGTTTTTTATTTGCTACTCTTTCATTTTTGCCTATGGGAGTTATCTGAGGTCTGGTTGACATTTCGAAAAGATCTACCTGATTTTTTCAGTGTATATTACGAGCTATATTTGTTATATTACTATCAACCTCTTAAGAACTTAATAGAGATGTCCAGCCACTAGTAAAATGCTATTTAGCTAATTTGGACTCAGAAGCTTTCCAGAGCCAAATAACGCTAGGATAGATAATGCAGAAAAAGTACATAGGTATCACATCCTTCCGTGTTCAAATGCTCCAGTGACCTAGGAAAGAGAAGATAGTGCGCCAGTTACAAATCCCGCCCAATAACTCCAGCCCACCGAAAATTCCGATGAGAAGAATAACAATCCCAACCTTAGCATTAGAAAATAATACCGTTGCGAAGCTTCGTATAAAGCTCAGTAAAACTCAAAAGTTGCCTTAACCAAAGAGCCTCCTCCCACCGGTTCCCCTGACACTCCATGCAAATGGCCCCTTTACACCAAATCCTTTCAAACTCAGGCCGGAAAACCCAACATTATCACCCTGTGCACTGAGTTTATATCGTCGCAATGCCTCACGAATATGTGACGGTAAAAGTGGCCCACGATGAGGGTTTGGCGGGAGCTTGATTGACTTCCTAGGGGCAAGCGTTGAGTTATCAAGAGAAGCCCCCTCCGTGGCGGCAGTACTCTGGGTTGTAACATGAGTATGAGGAGGCGTTGAAGCCGGTAGCGGCGCAGACTGGATGCCTTCCATCGCACTACTAGCTGGCCCGTTTTCAGATGACTCAGGTTTCACAGCCAACGTACCAGAACTATCCCCGTGGACTGGTTGTAATGAGGTCTGAGTACTGTTATTTTCCTTCTCTTTATCTGCTTGTTCCTGCCGTTTGCGATGCTGTGCTGCCTCTTCCGCTTCAGCGTCGGCAATAGCGCCTGCATCAAATGCCTCGGCCCACTCAGCTTGAATTGTTCTCGCCTTTTCGACAATTTCCCCAATAAATACTTTGGTATAACCTCCAATGGTGGTGACGACATTAGGGGGAACAGATTGAGATAATGTCTGATTCACAATCTTTCGAAGGGTAGATTTGTTCAGTTTAGTGCGCTTGAAACAATCGTATCGAGACGACTGCTCGGGGTTAAATGCATCCATCAAAATCCTAAGCCATTTTTTGTGTCAGTATGAATCTTCGGAATGGGCCCTAGAGGGTAGAATTCATTGAACGTACGCGAGATTTTTCTTTTCAGCAGCCGCGTCAACGGCCGCGCCACCATCGATCTCGGGCTCCTCGATGTAATCATCATCATCATTATCTGCGTCCTCGTCGCCTTGGTTTGTTCCATTTTTCACAGATGTACCTGTGTCCCCACGCCCACCGACAGAGCCGTCAGCTCCGCCTTTTACACTCGCCGCACCGTCCTTGTCCTTTTTACTCTTCTTCTTCCTCCCCCTTCCGCCAACCGTACTGCCACCAAGACTCCCAGCAAATGACCCTGTGAAGCTACCCGTTACACTCACTTCGGCTTCCGATCTTGAGCTGGCCCCTGTGTAAACGCGCGGGTCACTATCGGCGGATATGGGAAATGACGTTTGCCGTAAAGGGTGCGTTCGCTGGCGCTTCAAATTTGCAGGAGGATTAGATGAGGCCGATGCAATGGATAATCGTTTTTTGGGATTTGCAGGTGCATTAGG